CGAACGATGCAGGAAAGACTGGGTCCAGGGTGGCTCTGCGCACGCGGACAGCGTCGCCGCCGTCGGCGCGGCCGTCGTCGTCGTCGCCGTCGTTCGTCGATCGGCGACGTCGACTGTTGTCATCGTCGTCTATCGTCGTCGTCGTCGGTCGTCGACCGTCGTCGTCGTCGTCGTCGTCGTCGTCGTCGTCGTCAATCACCGTCGCCGGTCGTCGTCGCCGATCGTCGATCGCCCTCGAGCCTCCTCCTCTCTCCCCCCCTCCTCCCCTCCACTCCTCCTCCCCGCCTCCTCCTCCTTCTCCTCTTCCTTCTCCTCCTCCTCCTCCTCCTTCGCCCTCTCCGTCTCCTCCGCGCGGAAGAAATCCAACAATATCTCGCGCAAATCAGCGAACTATGGCCCTCCGGGCCTTTTTGAACGTCCATTTAAAGCATCTTTTTGGGGCCGTCTTAGGGCCCTCTTGGGCGTCGCGGGAACCAGGAAATCATGTTCCCGGAGAGGCTTCTGGGAACATGATTTCGAAAGAGGCCCTCTTGGGCCTCCCTGAGGCCGTGTTGGGAGCCTCCTGGGCCAACTTTGGGGCCTCTTGGGCCGTCTTGGGGGTTCCGTGAGCCTCACAGGACGACCCTTTTGGGCCGTCTTGGGCCCTCTTGGGCTCTCTTGGGCTGTCTTGGGGCTCGGGGGCGTCTGGGGCACTGTGAGGACCAAGCAAGCAAATATGCTGAAAACGTACGTTGTACAACGGGAGTGGGCCGATTTTTGCCTCTTGAAGGCCCTCTTCGGCCAGCTTCAAACCATCTCGGGCCCTCTTGAGGCGCTCTTGGACGTCTTGGGGCCCTCTTGGGCCTCGCTGAGGCTGTCGGACAGCGTCGCCGCCGTCGGCGTGGCCGTCGTCGTCGTCGCCGTCGATCATCGATCGGCGGCGTCGACTGTTGTCATCGTCGTCGATCGTCATCGGTTGTCGTCGTGGTCGTCGTCGTCGTCGTGAATCACAGTCGCCGGTCGTCGTCTCCGATCGTCGATCGCCCTGGAGCCTCCTCCTCCCCTCTCCCCCCCTCCTCCCCTGCACTCCTCCTCCCCGCCTCGTCCTTCTCCTCTTCCTCTTCCTCCTCCCCCTCCTCCTCCTCCTCCTCCTCCTCCTTGGCCCTCTCAGTCTCCTCCGCGCGGAATAAAATCCAACAACATTTCACGAAAATCAGCGAACTGTGGCCCTCTGGGAATTTTTGAATGTCATTTTAGGGCCCTTTTGGGGCCGTCCTGGGGCCCTCTTGGGCGTCCTGGGAACCCGGAAATCATGTTCCCGGAGAAGCTTCTGGGAACATGATTTCGAACGAGGCCCTCTTGGGCCTTCCTGAGGCCGTCTTGGGGGCCTCCTGGGCCGGCTTTGGGGCCTTTTGGGCCGTCTTGGGGCTCCTCGGGGGCCACTCTGAGGACGAAGCAAGCGAGTATGCTGAAATTGTACGTTTTACAAAAGGAATGGGTAAAGTTCTGCCTCTTGAAGGCCCTCTTGGGGCCCTCTTCGGCCATCTTCAAGCCATCTCGGGCCCTCTTGGGGCGCTCTTGGACGTCTTGGGGCCCTCTGGGGCCTCGATGAGGCTGTCTTGTGTGCCTCTTGGGCTGTCACGCGGGCAGCGTCGCCGCCGTCGGCGTGGCCGTCGTCGTCGCCGTCGATCGGCGATCGGCGCCGTCGACTATTGTCATCGTCGTCGATCGTCGTCGGTCGTCGTCGACCGTCGTCGATCGTCGTCGTCATCGTCATCGTCGTCGTCGTCGTCGTCGTCGTCGTCGTCGTCAATCACCGTCGCCGGTCGTCGTCGCCGATCGTCGATCGCCCTCGAGCCTCCTCCTCTCTCCCCCCCTCCTCCCCTCCACTCCTCCTCCCTGCCTCCTCCTCCTTCTCCTCTTCCTCCTCCTCCTCCTCCTCCTCCTCGCCCTCTCCGTCTCCTCCGCGCGGAAGAAATCCAACAACATCTCACGCAAATCAACGAACTGTGGCCATCCGGGCCTTTTTGAAGGTCCTTTTAGGGCCCTTTTGGGGCCGTCCTGGGGCCCTCTTGGGCGTCCTAGAAACCCGGAAATCATGTTCCCGGAGAGGCTTCCGGGAACATGATTTCGAACGAGGCCCTCTTGGGCCTTCCTGAGGCCGTCTTGGGGGCCTCCTGGGCCGGCTTTGGGGCCTCTTGGGCCGTCTTGGGGGGGTTCCGTGAGCCTCACAGGACGACCCGTTTGGGCCGTCGTGGGCCCTCTTGGGTCTCTCTTGGGCTGTCTTGGGGCTCGGGGGCGTCTGGGGCACTGTGAGGACCAAGCAAACGAGTATGCTGAAAATGTATGCTTTACGAATGGAAATAGGCCGGTGTTTGCCTCTTGAAGACCCTCTTGGGGCCCTCCTCGGCCATCTTCAAGCCATCTCGGGCCCTGTTGGGGCGCTCTTGAGCGTCTTGGGGCCCTCTTGGGCCTCGCTGAGGCTGTCTTGTGGGCCTCTTGGGCTGTTTTTGGGGCCTCA